AAAAAAAAAACCTCAAGCATATGTCAGTTTAATGTCACAACAAAATGTCGTGTAATAAACACCACATACATCAATTTAATGCATTGTTAACATTATAGCAGCAAACCAGACCAAGTACTAATAAGCAAAGTTGCTTAACGTGCACATCCTCAATGTAAAAAAATGCATAATTATAATCCAAAGTAAACTGTCTCCACATCAGAGCATTCACATGTCATATGAGAGATGACAGTACTCATGACTCCAAAGCAGAAGGATGCTCTCAGCAGGATAATGACAGTACTCCCACAAAATTTAGCACTGTAATTGCGTCCTGCTTTCGTTGGCTACTAGACACTATAGAAGCAGGAAAAATAACTACTATCACTTTAAGACCGTCGTTGTAACATAGCAGTGTTCCTTACAGCGGCAATAACCATGTCGATATACCTGATCTTGTTGCCAGTTTTCATCCTAATCCACTGTGGGATCGGCCTGTTCTGCTTCTGCTTCTTGGCGAGGAAGCGTTTGATTCTGAAGGTCTTATGCGACGCCTGAAATACAAATGTGAAGCACTCCGTCAAGACAGTCTGCGATGGCTGGAGTTCATCATCCCGCGACGCTTCACCGGGGAAATACGAGCTACGATTTGATTACTCACCGAACATTAATCTCTCAAATATTAAATCCCACCACCTAAGAACTTCCACTGATATGCAAAAATGAAGAGATATACATGAGTACAACTACCTGTTTAAGGATGATTTAAGATTCTCACTTACCATTTCGGAGATCGCTACCCGTTCACCACTATGGCGGTAGTCGAAGAGAAGGAACCCTGGGTAATGCGAGCACTGTATATCCGAGTCACGAACCGAGCCGCTCCTTCAACTCACAGCGACACCCAGTGGCTCCACGGATCACAAGCTGCTGGGTATATTTCGCTTTGTGAAAATTAGATTTTGCATGCAATTCTGCGTTTTGAAGTGTAATTACAGGCATTGTTTTATTGTACATATATTGTTACCAATATAACAGAAATAACATGAAATAA